GGTGTGAAATATGCACAAACAGATTGAACACTGGATGTGAAATGTAAACACAAGAATTAGAAGAGAACTTGCATTGAGTTGTAGGTTACATTTAAAACAAATTGTGTTTTGGCTTGCTGATTCAAGGTTGTATTTCTTTTTCAGTATGAAAACAATAAAAAAAAATCGGACTCAAACATTTTCTGTGGATGCAAGCTGAAAAAAAATCACATGCACATAAAGCTGTGGACCACCCCTAATATCTAATGTGACACTTAACCATTACATGATCCCAAAATACATTAGTAGACTACTTTATATGTGTAGTTACATTGTCAACTATGGTACATTTTTTTCTAGGTCAGATAGGCAAAAAAAAAAAATTCTATATTTGTCCAGTTAGCTTTAAAATGAAAATATGTCATCCATATTTATCTATGTATATGCATATCTATATATCTATATGTATATATATATAGATATATATATAAATATATTGACAGAGCAGAGATTCTTTATTTACATATCCACCAGGGAAGGTAAAGAAGATAAGTTGGCCGTCCAAGGCCAAGCAGAGAGGCCAGATTCAGGTAAACAACAATTGTTTGGGCAGAAAGACTTTGGTTCCTGTCTGCTTCATTTCTGCTGGCACTTTCAATGGTGAATCCAAACAGCCAGATGTGTGGACATTCCGCTGGTCTGTGCTTTGTTAGTTTTTCTCCATGGTCGAATCCACCATGCTGGCGAGTTCCAGGGAGCTTTCAAAGCATATGTATGAGAGCTAGAAGCACAAATGAATCTTTCACATGAGGTTGGCAGCTTTACCATGGCCAAAATTGCTGCCGATGTGTTCCTAATTTGTTAATTTCCTAGGTATCTGTTTCCAGAAAGCAGAAACCCTGTTATCATAAATCCAATTTGTTCACATCTTCTCCATGACATACCTAGTTGCATGCGTCTGTCGGGACATGAGGGCTCTCCAGCACCCTGTCTTTGGGAAAACCTTTTTTATCAATTACGTTGAGAGACCAGCTGACCAGATCCATAACAATAATTTATGATTTGGAAGATGTGTAAAGAGAGGCTCTGTTACACAGGACAAAGAGCAAAAGCAGGATGAAGGCAGGAGAGGGAAGTAAAGCGTCCATCTTCTGCGAGGACAAGTGAGAACAAGCAATGCTTGCTTTGTGTCTGCCAGTTTTGAGTTGTTTATTCTTAATCTTGATTAATCCTTCATAATGATAGGGTCAAAATAAAGCAAGCCAATTTTTTCAGGCCAATGTTTAATATGCAAAGCAAAGATGGGCCTGTGTGAAGTCGATTATGATGTCATCTTCATGCAAAATCCTCTCAAGTCTATACAAATACACTAAATAAAGATTTTCAAAACGTCCACTTTCAGAAATGTTTGTAAAAATCTGCCTTTCTGTCTAAAACACAGTTTGAAGTGGATGATAGGTGCAAACACGGCAGAGAAGTTTGTTTTGCAACAAATCAATGCTGTGTGTGCAGGGTCATATTGATTCTTTAGGTACACAGGTTTCAGCAAGGAACACCCACATAGTTATACAACATGTAGATACTCATTGTTACCATCCTGACTAAAATGTTCTTAAGATGAAAAAAGGTTGTGATTTCAACTCACATTTCAACAATCTCATTAGTTCTGTATTCATTTTCTTATTTAGAAGTTAAAAACATGACTGCAGGACTGGATCGCTGTTGCTTGAAAACATTATTCACAGGTAGAGCTTAATGAAACTATCAATTTCTTTTTATACTAGACAACAGCTGCTGAGCTCTTGTGTTCAACTCATTCTGCTCTTTCAAGGGACTGCAGCGCACGTGCCAAACACCAACTCTCTGTGGTTTTTCTTCTGCTTTGACTCATGATGTGAAAGATTTTCCAGAGTTCTGAACACTAAAATCTCAAGATGGTCAGTAACTTCTTTGGTCCATGGAGCAGAAGTGAAACAAAACAACAGTTTTGCGGGCGGCACACACACAGACGTCGCACCAGTCAAATTACAGCACCAAACAGGCAGTTGAAACTTCTGAAGGCAGCTTTTCTCGACACAAAGCAACACGACGTACAGCCTCTAGCTTTCGGCAGGTGCTTAGTGTGGCCTTTGGCTGCTTAATGAGATGGAACATTTGGCCAGTTCTGATCTTGCTGTTTTATTATGAGAGCAGACAACTGCAAAACCCATTTAGCAGCCAAATACCTGTGGTTTCAATTTCCACAGAGCTGTCTGTCTGTTCTCCGTGTCTCCTGCATAATCAATCAAATGTCTAGGAGGAAGGAGATGATGGAGGAATTAGAAAATACTCTATGAAAGGGGACAAGCAAAAGTTTGGTATCAGCTGTCAGATTCAGAAGAGCTGTGAACAGATTGGTTTGACAGATTTTTTTTGTCATAGTATGTGTTTAAAATGAAAGGCCGTGAACGCACCATTGTTTGGCTTAAAATAATAAATCTGAATACGATTGTTGCTTTTTTTGTTCAGTAAGTTTCATCAAAATGTATCCAGTGGTTCACAAGATAGTTTGCAACCAGACAAACACAAGAATATGCACAGACACAGAAACAGGCTATAACATAACTGCCTGCCTCTGGCAGCAGGGGATATAATTCTTTATTGCGTTATAGTTTCTTGAGAAAACGTGGAAATAGAAAAAAGGTTTTAGGAGTCCCATCAAATGTCAACAAAGACAGATGTTTAACCTTCTTTGCTCAAACATTCAAAACTCAAGGCCTTTTCTTCCTGCAGTTCATCTTTGTCTTGACATGTCTTTAGCTTCAGTGACATTTAGTACATCAGATGAGGTAGGGCTGAGACTTGTGCAATTTACACAGTAAATCTGAGGTCCCAGTCAAACCCGGCCTACAGGCATAATACTGTATACTTTCACATCACCAGTATCAGATTTATGACCCCTCCAATGGCGATTTGATCCATATCAACATGAGTAAAAAAATATTTGAGGTCACAATTTATTAAAAAAATACAATATTTATAATACTGTATTTCTGTCACATAGATAAAAGGTGCAAAGGTAAGTTAAAAACAAACAAACAAACAAACAAAAATATGAGTTTAATATGTATACAGACATGCAAATTTAACTCTGAGATTTGCAGTAAATCAACAAAAAATATTGAATATTAAAAAAAAACAAGGTATGTTGATTAATGTAGGTGCAGTAGAACTGTTGCCTCTCATCGAGATGGTGGGCTTATCAAGTCCTAGCTAGGGACTAGGATGTTTTAATACAACTTTTCTCCCTGTGCATGCGTGGGTTTTCTCCAGGTGCTCCGGTTTCCTCCCACAGACCAAAAACATGCATGTTAGGCTGATTGGTAACTCTAAATTGTCCCTAGGTGTGAGTGAAAGAGTGAATGTTTGATTGTCTCATTTGTCTCTATGTGTCCCTGTGATGGACTGGAGACCTGTCCAGGGTGTCCCCCGCCTCTCGCACAGTGACAGCAGTACATGGGCACCAGAGACCCCTGTGACCCAAAAAGGAATAAGCTGGAAAAGATGATGGATGGAGTTTTCAAACATTTGACCTAAAGACAAACATCAATTGTTTAAGTAATTGTGTAGCTGTATGACTTCAACCTGAAGCACAAGTTAAACTGCAAAGTTTTCACTGCAAAAAATAAAAAAACTTTTTTAGTTCTTCTGTGCAAGACATGATACAAAGGTCACATTGCCTTTGTGGATAAATAAAAGATTTAACTAGCACAAAATGATAAAAATTATTTTACCATAATTACAATAAGAATATACATAAGGCTATACATGTGTTTTTCCTTTTGTGTTAGTTATTAAATTATTATTAATGTTGTTTTTAAGTTATGAAGAGCAATCATTTTAACTGTCCTGTGATGTTTTCAGTTGTGTATTTATGGACTGGTTAGCCAAAAGGTGGCTGAGCTGATTACACTCAGGGGGGTTCCTGCAGGAGAATACTGCTGCTGCCTCCTCTCCAGCATGACTGATGATGGGCAGCTGCTTCAGGCACTGGGGAGGAGGGGGGCAGGGGGATGCAGTGGCACAGAGAGTACTGGACATGTCAGTAGTCATTACATTCAGCTACAGAAAAGGTCTGGGGTCAGACCGAGTGTGAGCCGGCAGTCTCTTGCACCAAACTGATGGTATTCCCAACGCTGTATCATCTGTGCTATCTCGTTATGATGCCCCCCAGTGAGCTCTGCAACCTCCTTTCAACACTGTGGCTTTATCTCAACATCTGAAGCTCAATTTCAGCTCACATTCATATTATACCCAAGGATAACTGATGCATTTTACCTAGACATCACAACTGCAAAGTCAGTTTTTAGAAAGGAATACATTCATTATTAATCATATAAAGCACAATATTTCCATGTACAATGAGCAGCATGTAGCCGACGGTGAAGATGTTTCTGTGGGTTTGATGATTCAACATATTTGTCTTTAACATCTTGTGCTTGTATGTGTGGAAAAGTGTGAAAAGAATAACACATTTTACCTTTTCTCATATTTTCTGTTAACAAAGTTCATGCTCAGTCATCCAGGTAACAGCCAGCCACTAACTGGGTAATAATATGACCAGAAAAGTTCAACTTAAAGTGAAAATCATGGCTTTTTATATGTCACCTTTAACACTTAATCAGCAGCAAACATCTCAGAATATTCTGACAACAACAGAAACAAAAGCTGGTCATAATAAAACTATTTCTATTTTTCCACAGTCGTTTGCTGGGAAACTGTTTTAGCTAAATCAGTTGAGCTGCCTAAATTGATTAGCAATATGGTTGTATTCATCTTTCATTTCTTTTTGTAGTTTATTTGCTGATATAATGATACGTAAAAAGTTTTATACACAACCTGTTTCTGCTGAAATAACCTAAGTTTGCATTGCAGCATTTAAAACATAAAATGACCATTTAAATCACTTTTTAATGAGTGTAAAATGTAAAAAAACAACCTTTTTCCAAGATGCCTGAGCACATGTTTAAAGAAAGACTTACCGTCCTCTCTAGACTTCTGAATAAATGCTTCAACGCCACTCTCTCCATAATTTCCCTCTGAGGCTACAGTGGAGACGTAATTCCAGCGCATGGCTTTGACAATGTCTACCATGGCCTGTGCCTGGTAGGTGTCTGGTGGTACCACACGGGAAAAGAAGTCGTAGCGGGTGTTATCGCTCAGTTCTGGGGCTGTGGAGGCATAACTCACTTGAGGGATCTAAAAAACAGAAAGACAGAGGAAGATGGTCACACATGGTGAAGTACATGAATAATATAGTAGGTGTAAAATCATTAAGAATGCAGCAAGAAAGTTATTTGCACTTTGGTATTCAAAATCATGATAACCACATGAAACCCAGCATCTGCTGAAGCGTCTCAGCAGCTCCTTGGGGGCTGTTCATTTGGCACACTGTTGCTTTAAATAGCCCTGATGATCACAGGCATTTCAGTGGTTCCTTTAAACTGTGATTTTTTCTTCACACAAGTCAAGTAAAACTAATTTATTCACTCCTGTATCTAATATAATATGAAAATTATAACACAGCTCTGGCGCTATTGTTCTTGTCAGAATCCACAAAGAGTTATGTTTCTTTAAAAAAAAAAAAACTTAATTATGTTTCTTACACAAGTTATAAAGTAAAGAAACCCATCATAAAATGAAGACAGAAACCATTAAATTAATGTAAAACCTGTAGGGACTAAAGAAAGTGACAATTTGTCCTACAAAGCACTTTTTAGATTATGCTTCCTTTCACGTTTGACAGTTCAATACTGTTTAGCTTCTTTACCTTTAGTTTCACTGTAGACATCTTCCTGCTGCCTCTAGGAGGAAGCTCTAGTCTGAAGTTGCTTGCTATTGTTGTTTCAGATCGCTTCTATGACGTTCCAATGGTTTTCACATCCAATGTTGACCACATGGGGTAGCGGCAGGGCAGCTCACCCAGGACCTGAAAGTCCCAGATTCAATCCCCAGCTATTCCCACATACTGTGGTGTCTCTGAGCAAGACACCCAATCCCTAATTTCTCCCCAGGCACTTACATAGCTGCCTCTTGCTCCACCAGATGTATCGCAGGTGCAATGGGTTAAATGCACAGAACCAATTTCTCCATTGTATGGGAACATACATTGATGACAGTTCGTACGCTGGTTTTTGTATGCATTGTGAGAAGCAGCCAGGAGATGTATGAGACCAATTCTAAGTTCCTTTAAGGCTCCAGTATGGGGTTTCTGTGGATCAGTTTTCTCTCAGAGGTCTGGTCAATTCCTTAGATTTTCTAGCAGTGTGCAAGAGTTGCACTATCCTTATTTAAAGAGTGCCTTTGTCATTAGTTATATTTATCTCATTGTTAGGTCCTTTGTACACTGGATGATGACCCTGCTATGAAATGAAAAAGTCGGGCAGATTGTGGATGCTTGTTGCAAGGTCTTGCTTTGATCTGGAGGCATGTATCAACAATGTGATGGAGGTGTCCTAGGAGAAAGATGGAGGCAGTGATAGTGTCACCGCTGCCACCATGCAGTTTATCATAAATTTGTATTTATTAATTTTTTCTTCTTTCAACTGCTCCCTTCTTCAGGGATTGCCACAGCGAACTAACTCGCATGAAGACTTAGCAATAGTTTTTTTTTTAATGCCAGATGCCCTTCCTGATACAACCACAGACCTACCACAGCCCTCTGTGTGGAGCAGAGAACTGTTATCTAGGGTGTCTGGGGAGCTGATGGTGGTGGTTAAGGGTCTTTCTCACCCACATTTTGATGTTGTCCAGTCTGGGGTGATGAACCAGCAACCTTCCAATCATAGGCTCACCTTCTCCAACCTCTGCACCACCACTCTCACTCATAATTTGGTTGTCAAAAATCTAAAGTAGGGGTGAAAGTAGAAAGTGAAGTAGTTAGAGTGAAAGAGTTTTTAATATTTATTTGTTTTAGAAAAAAAAGACCTCATGACTAAGTATAGCTGTGACTGTGACAAGATAAACATGATACCTGTGGATGTACTGTCATTCTAGCATGGTCTGATTTTCTACATCCTGATGCGGTCTAAGTCAAGTCAAGTCACATTTATTTATATAGCACATTTAAAACAGTAACTGTTATAAGAGTCATTCCTGAGTAGGTTCTATTTATGTAGTACATATATGTACTGAGGAAGCAGGAGAGTGTCTTGAGGACAGAAATGTTGTAGGGTAAAATATATTTGGAGAGTACAAAGAGCACAGATGTTTTGTGATTGCCTATAAGCTGTGTTGTTTCATTTATTCTTAAGTGAATGGATAGTCCATTGTTCTTCATTAGAAATAATAATTCAAATAAGAAAATTATTAGTTCACATTTTAAATGTAAACCATAAGGAATGTGTTACAGAACTGGTAGTAAGTTTTTTTTTTTGTTTGTTTTGTTTTTTTTAGTTCAGTTTCTCTTTTTTTAAGAATACCTGTTGTCTTATCTGTATACCTACATAGTTTTGAGAAGCAGCAGTGCCACATTCGAGTCAACTACCAACTGAAGGTCCTGCTTTCTCAGTATTTTCTCTGCACACAGCGGACTCTGCTGTGAGGGTACTCGCTCCCTCTCTGCACAGCGGAGGTCTTTGATGTGGTCAGCTGTTGCTCTGCACTGATCCAGCTCTGGCTCTGCCACAGCCTGTGTTAGGAGCACAGCTGTTCAATGTGCGCCTGTGACCTACAGTTCCCAACAACTCCCGTTACTCCACACTGATGTTGTTTTTCTACTGCAAACAGCCTCTGGGTAAAAAGCTTTTGGTGACAGTGAGTTAAATTTTTTTTTATATATTTATTTTAGTAAAACACAGTGATACAATTTATGCTTAGGACAGGTTGTCTTAATAGCCTTCATGACTAGGCAGGAAGTGACTTATGATGTCAGCCAAAAGCAGCTCTATTAATTCAATTTCTTTTCAACAAAGAGTGGAGCCAGGAACAGAGTGTGTTGTATTAGACTGTGGGCATGTTGCATGTTAACCTCCTGGAATACATTTGTCTCGGGCCATCACACTGTCCCTCGTCCATGCAGCATTTATGCCCCAGTTGTCCTGTGTTGATCTGGCTCTGCTTGTTTAATCAGTTGATGTACTGAGCAAACTAAATGGCACACGTTAGATATTAGAGGCTCCTTCATGCATTTTGTACCCATGGACAGAGTCTATAGTATATTATTGTGTCTGAATCCGACAGGCCGCCAGTACTAAGCTGACTTTGTTGGTATAATACCCTCAAACACGAAAGTTTGTTCACTTTTTATATTTGCTTTGATCGCAGTCAGAACTTTATTTAACATCTGTGTTTCACTCTCGTCTGGAAGTGATACAAGTGTGAACTTTTTTCGCACTGCTTGACGTCATAAAGAAGAATCCAGCAGGATGTATGTGAAGTGTTGTAAAAGGTGTTTAGAAGCTGTTAATGATGTGTTGGTTTAGAATATTTCAGTGCTCGACTCTAGTGCACGGTGAAAATGAACGTTTAGGCCATTTGCACCTACATTTTACTTTTTGAGTGGTATGTTAGAGTGAAAAAGGTTGTTATGTTTATTTGCTTTAGAAAAAGAAAACATTATTTTAAAATAAAAAATACACAAAATAATGTTGTGTACAAAATTTCCATACCATACCCTTTTATTTATAGAGCACTTAAAACAGTGCCAAGGTCAACCAAAGTGCTGTACAGACAGAACAACAGGTAACACACAAAGCAATATACAAAATGAAGTAAACCAGAAATATAGACATAAAAACGATGCAGATAATGACGACTAACCAGTGTGGAGCATACAGGTTCAAAACATAGATCAGCTGGTGTTGAAAGCTACTGAATAGTAGTGGGTTTTTAAACGGGACTTGAAAACCGAGAGGGAGGGGGCCTGTCTGACAAGCAGAGGAAACTCGTTCCAGAGTCTTGGTCCTGCTACAGAGAAGGCCCTGTCACCTCTGCGCTTAAGACGAGTTCCTGGA